TTTACTGGAGAACACCACCACTCATCAGACTGGATGGAATTCAATTTTGAATTCTGTGTTAGGAAAATCGCTGTTCGCAGCAACAGTTGCACATTCATGCAATTTTCAATAGTGACATTTTGAAAAATGATAAAGTCTTAAGTTTAACAGATGCGTAGAAATATTTCTGACTGATTGGTGATAAAATTATTGAAATTAGTCCTGAGGCAGCTGAGTTATTAGCGTTCAAAATCTTTCAAACTTTTGTTACATGTTCCATTTTCGGTTTTCACAAAGTGTACCCCTTTATAGAAATCACAGACGTAGTCCTACGTCAAAAATTCGTAAATTAATCTCATAAAATCGAGATCACGGCAAGCCAGAACGTCTCTAATTTGGTGTATTAGGTTGTTTTCCGCGGGCCCTGAGGGATTCAAGTAGCTCGGATCTCACCACATGCTGTGAGGTGCAGGACCAGACAACATGCTCGATGTCGTGATAGCCGTTTCCACAGGCACACAAACTGCTGTCTACAAGCTCTATTCGGTAGAGTTGTGCGTTTAACGAGTAGTGATTGGACATGAGCCAGGACATTGCCCGAATAAAATCGCGATCCACGTCCAATCCCTTGAACCAGGGTTTGATCGACACCTGTGGGGGAATCGAATGTAGCCATCTTACCAGATCACCATCATTCCACTTTTGTTGCCAGTTGATGAGGACTTGCTGACGAGTAATTGTGAAAAATTCATTGTAGGCGATTTGTCGCTCGTAAATGTCGCCTTCAATAGCACGGCGAGTCCGCTTTCTCATTGACCGGGATAGAGCAGTGAGAAGGGACCCATGCTAAGATGATGAAATGTGAGCTGACCCTCGAGGAGGAAGTTTATATGCGGGTACCGCCGGGATACTTGAAGGCCGGGAAGGAACAGCTGGTGTGCAAGCTCCAGCGCAGCATTTACGGATTGCGTCAGTCTGCTCGCTCCTGGAACAAGAAGCTGCATGAAGTGCTAGTGAAGAACAAATTCAAGGCAGCGGTGGCAGATCCTTGCCTCTATTTTCGAGACGACAGAAAGGCGAAGGTTCTCCTGTTGGTGTACGTGGACGATCTTCTGCTGGCGTGAAGGCGATGCGTTCAAGATCAGTTTGCCTAACTACATCAACACATTGTTGAAGGTGCATGGGATGGAAGAAGCGAAAACTGCTAAATCACCAATGGAGCCTGGATATTTGCGACTGGCCGATTTCGGAATCCCCTTCGACGATCCAACGAACTACCACAGTCTTGTCGGTGGTTTGCTCTACCTGGCCGTCGTAGCAAGACCGGATATTGCAGCTTCCACTGCAATTTTGGGAAGAAGGTTTAGTACACCGAGCGAAGTAGATTGGGTGGCAGCGAAGTGTGCTGCGTTTCCTGAAGAGAACGAGAGACTATCAGTTGAATATGGGTGGAGCCGTTGATCAGCCACTGGTCGGATTCTCCGATGCAGATTGGGCTGGATATGTCACAAGTCACCGCTCTACTTCCGGAATGGTGTTCCAGTTTGGAGGCAGCATTGTTTCGTGGGCAAGCCGTCGCCAATCGTCCGTTACACTTTCGTCCATGGAGGCCGAATACGTCGCCCTCAGCAAAGCGTGCCAGGAAGCGCTGTGGTAGCGACAGTTACTCAGCGACTTCGGTGAACAGCAAAAAAACCAACGGTTGTGATGGAGGATAATCAAGGATGCTTGGCGTTTGTACTAACGGAGAGAACCAGCAGACGCTCCAAGCACATTGACACCCGTGAGCGATTTGTGCGGGAGTTGTGTGTCATAAAGAAGATAGAGTTGCAGTACTGCTCCACCGATCGCATGATCGCTGACATCTTGACCAAGCCCTTGGGTCCGCTGAAGCACCAGGAGTTCTGCGAGATGCTTGGCTTAAAGAGTACAGCTGAAGAGATGCTTTATTGAGGGAGAGTGTGGAACGGTGCAATGCCACACCTCTTCACCGTACCTTGCGCCAGTTAACATCCGGACCTGTCGATGCGTACCTTTCGTACGCACAGACCTTGTTTTACGCCGGCTGCTGTCAGATCGCAGCATAAGTAGTACAACACTGAGTACTGCGAACTCAGCCGATTTTATTTTTCAAGTGAGCTAGAAAACATCTTGAAAATCTTCCGAAGTTTCAAATTGTTTTGCTGAAACAGCCCACGAAATTGTATATACATGCTGTCAAATGAACTCTTGGCTCCTCCTCCTCTGCTCCAGAAATAACGTATACATGGTGATGGGAGTGCACCTGCCCACAAAGCTCACATGACTCTTATAAAGTTTGATTACATTCTTGTTTCAGCAACCCAATTCTGGCATTATTAATATCAAATAAAAACACTGAATTCGATGATTTACATTATCCGCCTACTAAGGTTGATGTTTCGACAGTTTCATAATTATAATTCTTAATTTGTTTTCAGTAGGTGGCAATACCTTTACTTGTGGTTCAAACAGTAACTACCTACGTGACTTCTAAGCTCATTTGAATGTTTGGCTCCCATTTGACAGTTTGACTCGGCTCCCAGATGACAAGCATTTTGAGTTAGTTCGCAGTACTCAGGTATAACACAGTTTATTTTTCCTCACTCCAAATCGAACCGCAAGTCGAACGCATCGTGCGTGTACTCTTTTATACTTTTTAATAAAGAAAGTGTTCATATGTAATTTCGCGAGTTTCATTTATTGATTTCAAGTCGTTCCACCTGAGTTGTTTTCCCACTGTGTTGGCCCCGGACTCCACCTGCCGTCAAACATGGGAGAGCCGTTCAAGGAACATCTTGTTGTGGCGATTTTGCTGTCGAGTTTACCGGAGACGTACAACCCGCTCGTTACAGGTCTTGAAGGCCGTCCAGAAGAAGACCTGCAGCTGGAGTACGTGAAAAATAAGCTTCTAGATGAGTGGCGAAGAAGATGCGAGAACAAAGTGCATGAAAAGGCAAGTGAAATGACGATGAAAACCACAGTGCGATCGGAAGAACGGAGAAGTTTTGTACGGGCTTGTTACCACTGCAAGTGAGAAGGGCATTTGCGGCGAGGAGAGGCGACAAAACCAAACGAAGTCGATAGTGGTTAAGGACAAGCAATCGGATGCCGGTAGCAGTGGCAGTAGTCGAGGAGTGTGCTTCACGACGACGACTGCAAGTGATGTGTCGATTGACGGTCGTTGGATCATCGACACTGGCTGTTCGAAGCACATGACTGGATCGACTGTGAGCTTCGACAGTATGACGTTCAGTGAAGAGAAGGTGACTTTGTTGGACGGAAGAACGGTGAAGGCAAGAGGAAGTGGGCAAGGAAGGATCACAGGTGCCGTATTGGAAGGCGAAGCTGTGGATATGAAGCTAAATGGATTACTGTACGTTCCTGGATTATCTGGAAGTGTGCTGTCGGTGAGTCGAATCACCAGCAATGGCTACGATGTGCTGTTTGGTGCGAAGGACTGCAGAATTGTGAAAGCTGGCAAGGTTGTCGCTGTAGGTGATAAGAGCGAAGGACTCTACTACCTGAGGCAGCCAGTAGTATCGCAAAGCAAGAGGAGTTCTACGAAACAGGCGAGTGTTGTAAGTAGATGCAGTAGTGGGCTTCACTAAGGAGGAAGTAAGAAGTGAAAGCCCCATCTGAACTGAATCCATCGGCTGTAGGCTAATTAGATTTCAGTTGAAAGCAACGTAAGGCAGTCGTTCGTCCCTTTGGCCCTTCGAAATCCAAATTGCATATCTAAGAGTAAGCTATTCGCCTTGACCCACTTGTCCTGACGAAAAAGAATCGTTTTCTCCAACAATTTCCGAATGCACGACAACATCGCGATGGGACGGTACGAGTTATGATCCGACGCGGGCTTACCGGGTTTCTGAATGGCAATTACTCTCACTTGTCTCCAATCGTCCGGAACAAACTACTGCTCCAGGGAATTGATTGAACAAGTTCAACAAGCGCCTCTTAGTGACGTCTGGTAGGTTCTTGAGCAAGTTTAACTTGATTCGATCCATTCCCGGAGCCGAGTTGTTGCATGAAAGAAGAGCAATTGAGAATTCAACCATCGAAAACGGGGAGTCCATGTCATTCTTTTCCACCGACGTATCGCGGGTGTTGTTTCGGACCGAAACCGAATCAGGGCAAACTTTGCGCGCGAAATCAAAAATCCATCTGTTAGAGTAGGTACTCCTTGTCCTCGTTGACCGTTACGTGGCACGTTATGCATTCTCCTGCCGACATTCCAGAGCGTTTTCATGGAAGTTTCTCAGGGTCTTATTTATGCTAAGCATGAAAAATCTGGAATATAATGCTTAATTTTCTAAAAATCACTGGTAGAACGAAGGTCGTTTCAAAACTGCTCGACAATATGATTAATTTAACGATAAGGCTACCTCTGCGCTCTACGTCGTCATTTGGTGCGATTTGTAGATTACAGCGAGTCTAAACAGAGTTTAATCTATCTTTGGCTTCCACCTCAAACGCGATGCGTTTCATCGTAGATTTGCATCGATTTTCCCCAGCCGGAGTCAGTGACTTGTAGTTGTAGATTAATGTATTTTTATTAATGTTTTCATATTCCGACTATGCATATTTTTAACTATATTTTTGAAATGTTACTTTTTTTTATAAGTAGTGTGTATAGTTATGAATAAATAGTAAAAATAACAAGGCGAATCCTCAAATAGCATAACAATTCAACATTGAGCTCATTAGTGGCCCCATTTTGTGCCCAAAACCACTTTGGACTACATGTTCCGGGTACCTCCAGAAAGGAGGTCAATTCATGACTTGAACTGAGCCCCTTCATGTGTCCCCTCAAATCAAATAAGAAATTGAAAAGCAGTTCATTAACCCACTTTTCAAATAAAAACCACATTGCATCAGGGCAATTCATGTGCAGGAATTGCATGTTCTATGTAACAAATGTCCATCATTACATTGCTAATTTTCCTAATCACTAACTAATCGGTCAGTACAATTTCCTCCCCCCTCCCCCCCTCGCACAGACGTACCTGGACGAAGCGAACGGCAACACGCTGCTGACCCATCCATCGACGGGCGCAGCTGCAACAGTGGGGGTGGTAGACCAAGTGGCGACTACAGCAACGGTGGTGGCCAACGAAACCCTTATCATTCAATCAGCCTCGAACGATGACCTCAGCCAGAGCCTTTCCGAGTACACCGATGCGGACGAAAGCATCTCGGCACCCACGGAACTACTCGCCGAGGTAATTGAAAAACGTATGACATTCCAAATTGACACCCCGAGTGACAAACCGTTGAAAATTTACATATTTCAGTCAATCAATTTATTCTGATTGATTAATACTTACACTGTCCTTCTCTATTCCACCATCCCACACAGTTTCTGTCCGCGGTGATGTTGCGTGATTACGTGAATGCCCTCAAGTACTGCAAGCTAAGTATGTGTGCCAATAAGCGGGGCTATTTGCTACAGCACTAATCGATTAATTACCACTCCTCGTTCCAGTTTTGCAATACGAGCCAAACAACAGCACGGCTCGGGATTTCTACCCGCATATCCTGTCGAAAATAGCCTCGGAAGCGAGCAATGGCGGGGGTGGCGGTGGTGGGACAGAACAGCTGTCGGGAGAAAGCGACGAGAACTACAACTTCAACTACAGTACCTCGTCGTCCAATTCGGACGACATCAACATCGACGAGGTGGTGATGGTTTGCAGCAGTGAAAGCGAGCAATCCTCCAACTGCAGTTCGTTTCTGGACTATTCGAACAGCAGTGGTGGCAACAACAGCAGCAGCAGTAGCAGCAGCGGCAGTGGAGGCGAAGAGCTGGATGAACAGGCTCTGAATCGCATAAATAGTAACAGCACCGAGTCGGATCAGTTGCCACCGTCGCAATCGGCTACGGATAATAATACGTCGCATTCCTACTCGAGTCTGCTGCTGGAGGAGGAGGAAAAGGACCTAACACTGTCGGATATCTCCAACTTGAACATTGAGGACGATGAGAATGGTAAGGGTTTGGGTTGCGGGGACTTGAGGTATGCGTTGTGTAGAAGCTTCATGCGTTCTGTAATTTTAGAAGCTTCCTCTTAATCCTCTTTTTTTGAAAATTTGTTTATTTGGTTTATTTGGACTTTACTGTTAAAAGAAAACTTAAAGGACCTTAAAGTCTTTAAATCAATACTGACCTAACAAGATGTAGAATTACTAATTATCGTTGATGTTTTTTAATTTAAGTCATTTGAGAACTTCGATCACTTACTAATATCCAAAGTAACCATTGGAAATTTATTTCGCGTTTTGACATAGGACTACGTCTTTGATTTCTATATGGGGGTACTGTAACACTTTGTGAAAACTGAAAATGGAAAATGTAACAAATTATAAAAGATTTTGAACGTTAATAACTCAGCTGCCCCTGAACCAATTTCAATAATTTTATCACCAATCGATCAGGGCTACGCTCCGATATCAACGCTGTGAATTGATCTATAGAATGAATTAATGTGCTTGTACATTGAAGATGGAAAGCTTATCCCATGCACCATCTATGTAGTTCTCTGTGCAAGTGGATTAGTTGTGATCATTCACGGAGGAGCAACTACGAAGTACACGGTCAGATAACGTTAACTCGACGGCAAACACATTCATTGATACGTTTATTGTTGTGGATGATAGAAGAGCATAGCAGAAATAGTGCGAAATAGGAAGCTATGGTCATCACAAAAGAGGAAATCGAAAAAGCGAATTGGCTTTCACCCTTCTGCTTCTAAGCCCCTTACAGTCATCGTCATAGCATCGCACCGCTTTTGGTTCTAGGGCACTTGCTGGTTGCAATTTTAGATCAGGAATCACTGTGATGCGATCAGTTGTAAGGAGCAGAAATTTCCTTCCCAACTCTCATGTGAAATCTTTTAGTGGCTCTGTAAAGGGCCGGTTTTGATAGATTTCGACGGAGAAATTAAAAGCGTTCACCACAAATACGAAGAGCCAGCTGAATGTCCTTTGGCATATTTGTGACACGCTTTGCGTGAATGGCAAACAGACCGACCAGATAGGTCGGTTTATTTCACTCGTCGAGGGTATACTTATACCTGCGTCGAGTAGCATATTATTAATACAGGGAGGGTACAATACATACAGTGGGAAGTAAAATACTGAAAAGGGGAGGAGTTTCGCTTCTTATGCTACGGGCACAAAACGAGACACCACCGTCGAAACGACTATCGAGACTCATCATTCTCTGCTTGATCGTCAAGCAGTTCAGTTCGGTGTTAGCTCGCTCTCTCGAGTTGTTTGAAAAGTTCGTGGCGATAGTGTTCGCGCTCTCTCTTTTGCGGTTTGTCGTGCGTGTGTGTGTGCCCCGAAATGGGGAAGCATCGGTCGCGAAGCCCGGCGAAGGTCCAGAACCCCGGTGAAGGAAGCTCCGGTGTGCTTACCTCGAACAGGTTTGCTGTTCTCCCCATGGATGGGAATATCTAGCCAGCTGTGTTGGAAAAACGCAGCAAGAATAAGAAGAAGAATCGAGGCCAGTCCGATGTCACTGCGACGAACGCCAGCGACATCGGTGATTTCAGCGACGCCATCGGCAACGAAAATTCTGCCGGCCCGAGTGCGGCAAAAGTGAAGCTACCTCCATTGGTAGTGAAAAATGCCCATCTTAATAAGCTCATCGCAGATCTAGCGACGCTGGGCGTTAAAGCCGAATACAAGTTGGGCAGAGTCGGCACCAAGGTGGTGCTCCGTACCAAAGCGGAGTATGACTTGGTCGTCGCCCACCTGAGGACTTCTAAGGTGGAATTCTTCACCCACGACATTCCCGGTGAGAAACCATTCAAGGTCGTCATTAGGGGCCTACCAAACTTCGACCCGAAGTTTATCGAAGCTGAAATCAGAGACCGGTACAAGCTGGCCCCAAGTGCCGTCTATCGGATGACAAGGAAGGACGAAAATGTGAAGGCGTATCCGGATAGCCTTTTCCTGGTACACTTCCAGAAGAGAACGGTGACGCTCAACGCGCTGAAGGCCATCCGCTCCATCAATTCCATCATCGTCCGCTGGGAGCCATACCGTGGCGGCCATCGTGATGTGACTCAGTGCCAACGGTGTCTGAACTTTGGACACATCACCCGTAACTGCAACATTAAGCCACGCTGTGGCAATTGCGCTCAAGACCACGCCACTTCCGACTGCCCTGCGGATGGAGCCGTGGCGTTAAAATGCGCCAATTGTGGTGGTGCTCACCAAGGTTCCGACAGACAGTGCTCCAAACGCGATGACTTCAAACTCATCCGAAAACAGGCGGCAACTAACAACCAACCAGGACGCAAGAAGGACAAAGTCCTGGCATTTCAAACGGAGGATTTCCCGCCTCTTCGTGCTCCTCAGCAAAGGAAAGCGAATTCGCGGGTGCATTCCGCTCAAGCAACTTCTGGTGATTCTGCTGGCCAAAGCTCTCCATCCCCCCCTGGATTCTGGAGACAACCACCAGCGCAAAACAACAACCCCGATCTGTTCTCAGCGGATGAACTGATGGAAATTTTCGTCAACATGTCCGGTGCTCTTCGTAAGTGCCGCAATAAACCCGAACAGATCCAAGTGCTTGGTAAGTTCATCATCCAGTATGGTGTCTAAACCGCTAACCATCGCTACCTGGAACGCTTGCTCTGTAAAAGCAAAACAGATTGAGCTTGCCGACTTCCTCCGCAAGCACAGCATTGACGTGGGCCTACTAACCGAGACCCATCTAAAGTCCGGCGACAGCTTCTGGTTGCCTGACCACAACATTATCCGGCTTGATCGCACCAGCTCCAGGGGGGGGGGGGGTGGTGTAGCGGTCATCGTCAGAAAGGGAATCAAGTTCTGCACTCTGCCCCACGTCCGCACTTCTATCATCGAGGCCGTTAGTGTGGAGGTGGAATCACCAACTGGAAACGTCCGGTTTATCGCTGTTTACTGCCTACGCCAGTGCACCGCCAACAATGGACTAGGAACTCAATTCAAGAACGACCTGACAGCCATCACCCGTACTAGCTCCCGATTCATCGTTGGGGGCGACCTGAATGCCCGCCATGAAGCTTGGCGGAACTACCAGCGGAATGGATGTCTATTGTTCGACCACGCACAACATGGACTGTACACTGTGCAGTTTCCGGACGAACCAACTTTTATCTCTCCGGCGGAAAATCCGTCCACCCTGGACGTTTTCCTGTCAAACATCGTACTATCCAAACCGGAGGGGCACAACGATCTCAGTTCCGACCACCAACCGGTGGTGACTGAAGTCGGTGTCAACGTGGTTCCTGCTAGAAGCTGCCTGCGTAAAGACTACCACCATGTCAACTGGGTGCAGTACGGACGAATGGTGGACAGCAACACCGATGAAAATCCACTGCTCGACACTGTAGATGACATCGACCGGGCGTTGGAAGGACTCCAACAGGCCATATCCGTGGCTGACGAGGCGTGTGTTCGACAAGTTCCTGTGAGGGGTAAGTTTGTTGTTATTGATTCCAACACCCAGAGGACTGGAGATCTGGGCAAAAAACGTGACATGGCCGATCTGAACAGGCAGATTGCTTCCAGAATAGACTCACTCCGAAATGAAAGTTTCGGGCGTGTTGTCCAGAATCTGGACGACCGCTCCAGACCATTCTGGAAGGTAGCCAAGGTCCTGAAAAATCATCCCAAACCCGTTCCACGTCTCAAAGTCGAAAATGATGACGATCGGCTTTTAATTACCCCACAGGAGAAAGCAAATGCAATCGGCAAACATGTCGCTTCATCGCATTTGCTTGGCTCGACTATCCAAAGTCCGCTCGAATCTTTCCAAGAATAAGTTTTATTTAACTACTAGGGCTGCTAAGATTTAATATATATACACCGTATGCGTGATAATGTTTGCACCATCGTACAAATAAGGTTCCCGTTTCACCTGTGCATACAATGCCTTGGTTTTCTTGGCATGCACGTGACGTAACCCATAGCTCATACCGTAGTAGACTGTGTATAAAAGAAAATGATTTACTTAGTTTGACAGTTGCACCATGACGAAGTGGCAGCGTATTCGTGATTTGTCCCACGCGCAAATGTCGCAAAAAGACATTTCAATCACCGTGGGAGTGTCCCGGTGGACCGTCAAAAGGGTTTTAGAACGAGAAAAGAAAGGACAACTATCCACGAAGGTGACCATAGGTCGTCCGAGGTCAGCTCGGGTTCCGAGGGTTATCACTGCTATCAAAAGGAAGATTCAAGTGAATCCAGTGCGTTCAATAAGGAAAATGGCAAAGGAACACGGGATCAGTGACTTTACGGCACGGAAGATCGTAAAGGAAGATTGCGGGTCGAAGTCGAGGGCACGGAAAAAAACTCATATGATTACCAACGGGAGCTACGAGTCGAATGATGCAAGAAAATCTTGAACTTCCTGAAGCGAAAAAATCCGGTAATCCTGTTCACCGACGAGAGCATGTTTACTGTCGATCCCGTATCAAATTCCAGAATCGACCGGTATATTAGTTCTCTTGCGGTAAAAGACGTGGCCGACGAGCACAAGAACGAATAAAATCAAAACTTTTGAACCACTGAGCCGATTTGAATGATCAAAATAAAAAAAAAAAACTTTTCAGAAAAAAATATAATTTTTTTAAAAATTGGAGTTTTGTATAGAAGAACTTTGATTGTATTTGTTTTTTATGGTTTTATTGGTTTGTAGACAATAAGCGTAACACGTTTTTATATTGTTTTTAAATTTAGGCTTTTCTACATAACATATATAAAAAATCAGCGATGTATTTTTCTTCGTTTTTGACTTACGATTTTTGTGAAATTATCATGTTTAGAAATTTCTCTCATTACTCCAATACGACTAGATTACCATGGGACTCCATTGTCCAAATTATCGGTATTTATACCGATTTCCGAACTAGATACCGGTATACACATAAGGTTCCTCAGCATACCGATTTTTGAGGTTTTATACCGATTTATGCCGGTTTTATTAAATAATCA